TGCGATGTTAAGTATGATGTGTATTATCCGTTTTAAGTTTTGCAGTAATAACTTTAGAAGAATTTACAATATAGCACGCATACGATTAATGTCTAGTCATTTTAATGCATATTTTATTCTGATATTAAAAATTTTTGGTTACACAAATTAAGTAAATTCAATGTTTTTAGCGATAATTTTCATAATTTTTTTATAAAGCATCTAGCATTTAGGCCGTTCGAAGTTAATTCTTCGGTTAACATCTCCCCCCTCTCCCCGAAAAATGAACAACCAATCAAAACGCTGGATAACTCTCGCCGATCACTTGATTTACATCGACCAATGATATTTGTGTTCGTTTCATTTTACCCAAGTGATGTTAACCGAAGAATCAACTTCGAACGGCCTAAGTCTATTCGAAATTAATTTTGGTTAACATCACCTTCCACTCTCCCTTCGATGGTCCCCTGGTAATATAAAATATAAAAAATATAAAATATGAAAATTTAAAATATAAAAAAAAGAAAATTACTATTATTAACAGGCTGTGAAATTCACACTCCCGCTTCAAAAAAGTTTTTTATTTAAGTTAGGGTTGGGTTAAAGTTCTAATAAATAACCTATTTATAGTAAAATTTAGCATGGAATTTTTTAATTTATAACACCAAAGGTGGTTTCATAAGATAGATTTTGTGTTATAAGTAATTTTTTGAAAAAAATTTTGTTTTTGTTAAACAAAAAAAATTGCAAATCATGCTAATTCTGCAATTTTGATTGGTCAAATGCAGGGCTGTGAATTTTACAGCCTGTTAAGATTAGCAATACTCATAAAAAAATGATTTTGTTATTCATACCTAATTTTGTACTATTTATGTATTACTAAATTTTTTTAGTATACAGTACATACAGTATATATAGTACTTATATTTATAATTTTTTAAGTGGTCCTGCAATATATAAAAAATTAAAATTATATAATAAAGTTAATTTAGCACCTATATTTTTAGTTTTTTAATATTAGTCTATATTATAATTAGTGTAATATTAGAAATCTATAGCTTATTTGTATAAAAACATGGTATAATTATATTAAAACAAAATATATATGTTTGTATAATTAGCAATATAAATATTACTAGCGCAATAGGTGGCACTTCATGTCACCCATCATATTTAATAGCATTCAGTTTCTTTAGTTGGTTGTGATGTTTTTTTTAAAAAAATTTGTTTTTATTTGATTTTTTTGTTTATTGGATTATTATGATATTTTATTTGGTAATGCGTGTATAGGCATGTGAAAATTTAAAAAAAAAATCTTTTAATTTTATTTATGTAATGCAATTTTGACATAAGTTAAATTGTGCCTAAATTTATTACATAATATGTATGATAATTATGTTATTATGACTGTTATATAAGTTGTCATATGTTTATATAATTTTGTGGTTGGGTTATTCAATTTTGTTATAGCAAAAATAATGTAGTAATTTTGATAGCAGAATTTGTTATTTTAATTGTTTTAAGTTTAGTAATTATGCATAGTATGGTAGTTACGTGATAATTACTTATGATTATAATTTATTTGTTATTGAATATTATTTGATAATTATTATTTTACATTTAATTTTATGATTATTGCTAGATTTGGTTAATAAAATAATATTTGGTTTAAAAAATTATGGCTTTTTTATTGAATTTATTGTAAAGAGTTTTAGACGTGTTAAATATTTATGACATTTTATAGATGTTATGTTGATGTAAGCATTAGTTGTTTTTATAATATTTTTATAAAAAATGCATGTTTATCTGGACTTGGATTTTCTTTATAATAAAAAAAAAATAATAGATAAATAATTACAAATAACTTATATGTTTATTAAGAAGCATTATGCTATGTTATATAGATACTATTGTGAGAGTAAAGCTTTTTGCCAGACAATAAAGGATGAGAGTAATTTGATCATTATGTGGGCTGTTGATGTATATTCAGTAGGTTGTGAGGATAACAAAATTGAGATGGTGTTATTTGTGCCTACTCAGTTTAATGATAGAGATATTGAAACTCAGACTGTTTTTAAGAGAAATCATTTTTATTCTGTTGGTGGTAAGATTATACCTAGATTTTATGCAGGCAATAAAAGGCCAAAAGTATTAGTTTTAATTTGTTGAATTTTTGAGATATTATATTTTATTATATATATTTACTTATTTTTGTTTAATTTTAGATGACAGTTTCAATTTTGACTGAGGTTGAAATTTTGAATAAAGTTGTTCAGACAAATAAATATCTGTTAAAATTTTCTTTAATCAGAATTCCTCAAGAATTACCTAAGGTACTGGTGAATGATGAAAAAGCTATTTTTAATGTGTTGGCAAATGATTATGCTATTCAGGTTCATAATTTTATAGTCAAGATGTGTTTTTACATTCAAATTCACATTTTGCACACTTAAAGAGTACAATTTGCCTACATAATTTGCTTGTTTTTGTCATTGGTCAGATGGAAGTTATTGATAATAATTTTTATATTTATGCAAAGATATCAACTTTGTTGATATTTGTAGTTCTAAGCAAAAGGTTTCTGATGATAGTAGTTCTCGCAGTTCTACAGAAGCTGTTAATACTATTTGCGCAAAGCTTCTTTTACTTATCAAAATGTTAATGAATGTTCTAAAGATACTTTTAATATTGAGAAATCATCTTCAATGGTTTTCACTGATGGTTCGTTATCATCAAGTAGTAATTCTTCAAAGCGTGTTAGAGTTGAAGATGATAATAAGTCTGTTAAATCTATGGATGTTTTTAGTTTTACTGAAAATAATTATAAGAAGTTTGCCAGAATTAGTAGTTCTTGTGATGTTTTTCATAAGGATAAGATTGAAAAGAATGTAAAAATAGAGAATTATCAAGAAGTGCCATTCATGATCATCAAAAAAAAAAGAATTTTGTAGGTTGTTTCTTATGTAGTGCTTTAAGATTGTATAAGTCTGGCACAAATACTATTAGTAACGAGGAGGAGGAATAAGTATATTAGTATATTTTATATATTTATATGATTAATATATATAGATAATTATTTTTAACTTTTATTTTTAATATAATAACATTTTAGTCTGGATTTGAAAATAAATATCTGTATATATATTTATATTATGTTGTTAATAAATTATGCTTATTGTTATAATTTTTTTAAGTAAAGTATTATTTGTATGAAAATATTCTTTATAAGGTAGCATTTTTTTATACTAGTTTATTATTATTTACTTATATGTTGTAATAAGTATGCTGTATTGATTGAGAGTAAAGTATGTTTTGAATAAATTTTGCTTTTGATATTTAGTTATTTTTTATACATTGCTTATACTTTGAAAATTTTATATTTTTATTTTTAACTTATTTATATATTATTGATTTATTTATACTTACGAATATATTCAAATTTTAAGCTTAAAGTTATTGTCGTAGATTTGGAGATTTACATAATTAATACTTGATTGTTTGGTTATAATGTACTATATCTTTGTATAAGATAAAGTAATTATTGTGTATAAATATCAATTTATTATTTTTATATTTTTTTTGCTTGTTGTGGTAGTTGCTATTCAAGTTGTATTGAGTTTTGCTATTTAATATATTAAAAAAATTTTGATTATATCAGTTTAATTTCAGATTAAACCAATTTATTTATTATTTGATTAATATCTTTATCATTATATAGTATTACTAAGCATTATCTTGTTTTATAGTAGTTTTTTTGTTTTTTTATAGGTTGTTGCAGGTGTTTTTAGTAGTATTATTATAATTATTGAATATAATTATAAATAATGCTATTATGTGTTAAGAGATATGAATAGTAATTTAGTTGGGTATAGTATTTTATTATTAAAGTAAAGGTTATTCAGAGTATTAATTAAATAAAGTGATAATTTGTTTTTGCTATTGTTGATTTTGTGAAGATAATAAAATGGTAAAAAAAAGTTTTTTGAATGTAATGTTTTGTTTACTAATTTAGGTTTCATTTTTTTACTGCAGAAAAAGTTTGATTATTGATGCTAGTATTATAGGGTTTTTTTAGTAAAGAAGCAAAAATTCTGCAATGTTTATTAAGATTTTAAAAATTTAAATAATTTTAAAATACTATGTATTAAGTGTTTATTTTAATATATTTTATATATTGATATAATAAATTATTCACAGAGTTGCTTTTTTTTCAAAGCATTTTAGAGTGTTATAGTTTACTCTCATTATAACATAGTGGTTAGGCTGAGAAATTCTGTCTATTATAATGAATATCTACTATAGTATTATATAACATAATAATAAAAATTTTAAATTGTTTCAAAAAATTGCTCTGTTATAACAAGATATTCACTATAATAGGTTCATTATAATGAGGTTAAACTGTATTTCTAATTTTTTAATTTTGTAGAATTTCTTTATAAACAACATTGCATGTAAAATGTCCCTACATATTAGAAATATTGCTATTATTTACTATTACTTTAATGTTATTTTCAGATCGGGCCTGTGAGAATGCAACATAAAGTTAACTATGTGTAAATACATGTTCAGAAAGGTAAAGACCTACATAAAGTAGTGTTTAACCTTGACAATTATTAATTGTTAATGCGAAGGCAAGTTTAACAGAAAATTGTTTTCTCTTTAAGGTGAAAGGGAGTTTAGTATTTCTGAAGAGTACAAAAGTATTCTTGGAAGGAAAACACTGTTTTCCTGATGATTTCTTGTAGCTATTATAGCTTTTATTATATTTAAATTAAAAGTTTAACAGATTAACCTGGAACCATTGCACAGATCATTTGCCAGGTCCAGATTACCAAGGCATAAAATAGGTGTACCTGTTTTTAGATGTAATTTATGAAAAGAAAGGCCTTTTGGTGTTATTAAATTAAGGAATTCTTGTTGATAAATTTCATATGTATCATCAGAAACAAAATCATAACTTTTATATATTCTAATATTGCCAGGCATCTGGTCTAAGATTATATTATTAATATGATCAATATATTTATTCTTAGCAGCAAGAATAGCTCAATCAGTAAAATAAAAAACATCTAGATAGTGGTCAGTTAGGTTTGAATAAATACATTCGATAAGTGCTTATAAAGATTCTTCATTTTCCCAAGGTATGACTATATAGTTAGAAATATGAATCAAATCATCATTATAAGTTGGTTCTGTTCTATTTTCAATACTTAATAAAAAGTTACTAAAATTATAATTATATTATTTTAAATTCTCATATTTACATGCAGTTAATAAATTTCTATTATTAATCATAAGGGAGAAAATTTTAAAGAAGCATTCACTATTTGCTTATAACTATCTTTTGAAACAACAGGTGATTTTTTTTTTTTTTTTAATGTTAAGGTGCCCACTTTGGGGTCTAGCACATTTTATTGAACTTTGAATAGAATACCAGGATGATCACATGGGCTACCTCTGATTTTGTTACATTAACGAAGATATATTCTAGCCATATATACAACTTTTGGTTGTCTATTTAAGCAGTCTTGCATATGTAACCCATATGAACTACACTAGATGCCATACCTGTAATCCACTATTACTTGAGTTACCCAATTAAACCCTCTGATCAACTTAGCGTCGTTGAGATATTTTCCTCAAAGAGAAACTGCTATATAAGCCCCTTAGGACTTTAAAGCGAACACACACTACCATATAAGGGGGTCTTTATCCTTGTAGTAAATCTACCAGAGAGGTCCATGTCCCACACATGTATTATCTAGATTTTCGGTAACTTATGCCTAGACCACGGCCAAGTACTTGTGGCTTTTTATCTCTGCTACCATTACCTACTTTGTGCTCTTGCAAAGTTCACCCAAACTCTAGCACCACTTTACAAACTGTAAACAGTACTTCGATGCCAACCGTCAGCTCCCTAAACTTCCAATTCAGATGGCCTGGGAGGGACCAGTGGGTGTCCCTAGTATTCCGAATGAATCCTTTTTCCTCTGGTTAATCCTGCGGCCTGGTTGGTATAGTGCTTGCCAAACACTCAATCCTCATTCAGTTTGCCTTCGATGTCTAGTTGTCCAGATAATAATCTATTTTGTAGGCTGTTAAAGATCTGTGCTACTTCTCTACTCGGGACTTTCCAAGCAGGCTTCTATATCCCCTGATCTCTTGGATTTATTTGACTGCTTCACTCGGGTTTCATATAACTCATGCATTAAACTACATTCCACAACCTCCCAATACGAGTTGGTGAGACCAAGGGTACAGATGCTGACCCGATCAACATATCATACAGTCTTACTATAACACATTTCCGCAAATTCGAATTTTATCGCCAGTGGGATTCGAACTCTTGTTCTGCTATTTGGGGGTGCGACAACTTACCAACTACACTAAGTCGCCACACCCAAGCTACAACAGGTGATATTTGGCAGAAGTCTCTACCAAATACTATTAATTTTTCACCAAACATAAGTTGAAATTCTATTAGGTTTTTAGAGTTTGATCCAAGGCTTCTACTGCATATCAGTGTATCATTAGAATTTTATTCTATATAATTAACTTAGCTAAATGTAAT